AAATCCTCAACGTGGCTGAGAGTGGTGCTCCATCCAGAATCACTAATAACGGCCAACCCTAAAATTTAATCAATTCTATTAGGTTTAAAAGTAAACTTTCTCTGGCATCACTTTGTGTCGGGGCTGCCGGCTTTAGTTTTAAATTACAAGTTTAGAGACAGTCGAGTAGCTCTATACCTCAGTAAAGCTCACTCCATTAAGTTACCGTCTATCAATTAACATTAAACGAGCAACGAAGCTGGATCTCAGTCTCGTTTCAGTACTTGATGAACAGATCTGAAGCTTGACTCATCTGCCAGGAATACAAACGTCATTCAACAAATATAGTATATAAAAGAAACGAGCATCATCTTACAGTGATTGCATTAATTCTAAAATGAACAGTAGGGTCTTATGTAAAATCAAAAGCTAACAGTGTAGATTTACTAGATTAGAAATACAGCCCCAATCGTAGAAAGTTGATGCAACCAAAGTAAGTGCATTTTCCATTGCTGAGATTTGAATCTTTTATGTTTTCAATACTCTGTCCACATTTATTTTTAATGACAGAATCAACCTTTCTCTTTAAAATACCCCAAAGAAAAAGGTGTTCCATTGGATTCAAATCAGGTAATACCTGTCTAGGTCGAGGTTTTTCTTCTTTAAAAACTCATGTGTGACTTTGGCGGTGTGTTTTGGATCACTATTGTGCTGAAATATTCTTCTGCTAAGCTTCTGCAGACGGGGAGTCGTCTCGTCAGCCAGTAGTTTGATACTTGTACAGGCAATGATGGTGTCATCTATAAAAGTCATGTGTACGACACCGTTTGCTCTCATGCAGCCCCATATCATCACACCTCCACCTCTGTGGCTCACTCTCAGGACTACATATTCACTGTGGTAGTTCTGATCACCCAGAAATCACCTAACCAAGTTCACGCCAATCATGCTAAAACCCATCTAAGTCAAACTTGTCACGGGATAACTAGGCTGGTTGACCCAAATGCAGAAATGACACTCAGGAGAGATGGAATCAAAATAAAGTTTATTGTAGAAATTGATGTTGTAAAGATGAGAATGAAAACGGGAGTCCTGGGAGCAACGGAGAAGGCTCGGGTTTGGTGTAAGTGGAGACACAGACAGGAAGCGGGAACACTGGAGAATCCTCCACAAAGGAAAGGCGGTCTCGGTGACACTCGGAAAAAGGCACGAAGGGAGGCTCGGAGGAAACTCGGAGGAACACGAAGGGAAAACTCAGGTGGTGGCTAGAAGTCGCCATGTAGGGCAACACTCAGGCAAAGAGTGAATGTTGAAGGCTCCTCTTATACCGGTGGTGACGACCCAAATGAATTGCAGGTGTGTAGCTCACACACCTGCAGGGAATCAGTCACTGAGAATTCCTCCAGGACGCCCTCTGGTGGACGCCTGGAGGAGGACAAAAACACAGGGCCAAAATCACCATTCCCTGACAAAACTAGTGTATCTTGGTCTCATCTTACCAAAGAATGTGCCCCCAGTATTCATCAGGCTTGTTTTCATCTTGCAGTTTAATTCTGAACAGCAAGCAAGCATTTGTTTTCATGGATGCCATCCATAGACAAGGTTGAAGTTTTGCAATGTCCTTTCTTGTGACAACCCTTGTGCCAGGTCTGAAGCACCAGCCCGTCACTTTTAAGTAAGTAAGTAGTTTAGGAAGACAGGTGCTGCAGCTCTGACAAGTGGCACTGTTACTCATTCTACACCTCCTGATTACTGCTGCTATCTTCCTGTATTCCTTTACATCTTTGAAAATGATGAGATTTTACACTTCGTCTGGCAATTCATTTCTATGTGAAGCCGTGATGCAGACATGCAGAGATGCAGCTCATACACCCAGAACTAGTAAAGTTCTGCTGTTCACAGCTCATTTTATAGCCACGTTCATGGCACATCATTTGAGTTTTTGTATATATTTATAAATATTTATACTCTTATGCAAACAAAAATGCTATTTTTCACATATATTTAATTCTCTAATGTTCATTTCTTTTGGAAAACAAACATTTTTGTTCTGCTAATCAGTTGATTTGATGATGCTCATGTGATTTTGGTGCTACTTGACGAACACCTACCTGAACGGCTGATTGAACCTTTTTTTTTTTTTCTAAGTTGACTCACTCTGACTTAGTAACTGATTGCGTCCTGCTCTACATGTACCATAAATATTTAAGGTAATCATCGAGTCAAAGAACTCTCAACATTCAAGAAGAATTTGCACAACATTCCCCCAGCAGACTGTTAGAAAACCATTAATAAACAATGCCGGTGTCCAAAACTAACAGTGAACTTTATATAAAGCAGATAAAAGCAAAAATGCACAAGCCGGTTTGTGTTTTGCTGATTTTAATCTTTTATATCATCATCTCTAAAAGAGTCTCATAGCAGAGCAGATTTGTTTGATACAACATGAATAAATAAAAATGGGATTAAAGGTCTACAGTAATACTATATTTATTGAACAACAGTCTGTCAAAGTTCCCTTCAACTCCACGAAGCATTTTAGCTACTTTCTGCTTTTTGTTTTGGTTTTAAAATCTCATAACCCAGCCGTACACTTCTGTGCTAATGTTGCTCTACGTCTGCTGCATGCGTCATTAACCTTTCCCCAACACGTCCACGCTAACAACCACATGCACGAGGCTAAAATGTCAAACGTGTTTGCGTTGTTCGGCCTGCTGTGGAGTTCTGCCCCCAAGTGGCCAAAAAATTCAATTTTACTTTCAATATCTTTCCAGTCAAATGTTAAACACCCTCAGTGGGGAAACGCTCTGTGTGAAGTGGCGCCTTTTATGCGGTAATCATTTGATCAATTCCTCTCACTGTACGGCAGCCACCACCTCCGTCGTGGCCGGCACATTCCCCTGGTAAACACAGTTGTTGTGGGAGGGAGATGGATGGATGAGATGAGCTCATTTATTATTCAGGCCTCAGTGTGTCTGAAGAGGGACAACAGGACCGCAGTGCAGGGAGGCAGAGATGAGGCTGTGGTTACTAATGAGGGGTTTGTCACAACGATACAACCTTCCTCATGCATCTTTCATACAAAAACCTGCATAAGTACACAACACGGGAGGCTGTGCGAGGTATTCTTCTGTGTCCTGGCATTAATGATCTGTGTCATAGATAGGAGGAGGTAGTGAAACTTTACTTTGCTGTTGTTGAAGACAGATTTAAACCTGTGTTGTTTGGATCACACATGATCGCTAACACTACGTTGTTGTGTCTTCAGAAGCTTATGCCAGATTTATAACCCATCTAAACTACCTGTCGGATGAGGTTGGATAGCAATCGTCTGTGTTGCCTATTATCTGCAGCTTTCCCAAACCAATGATCTGATATCCAGTGTAAGCCATGATTGGCCGGACAAACTCTGTTTTTTTTTTATTCATTACACAACTATTTGTTTCACTTTTTCTGTGTACGACCCAATGCTGTACTATGTCTCCCTGTGGATGAAATTATATGATATGAATAATTTCAGATGTGGCCTGACAGCGTGTCTGAGACACCGTGATCTAAACCTTAGTTTGAACGTAACCTAAAAACAACCCAAGCTCATGGATGAGTCGCTGTTTCTGAGGTTTAGCTTGAACTTCGTCAGACCTGATGCCTACAATGCAGAGTTTGCGGTTAGTGATGTCATTTCATGTTTAACTGTGGGTTTATAGGGCTACAAAGTTAGTTTTCGTCTTAACGGGGTACATCGCCATGGCAACTAATGCTGTACACCTAACCTGCTCCAGAGACGGTCACGTTCAAGATAACAGGTCAACATGTATGAACATGGGCTGCAAGGTGGCTCGGTGGTTAGCATCGATGCCTCGCAGCAAAAAGGTCGCCGGTTCGTGTCTTGGTGAGGACACCCGGGATCTTTCTGCGTGGAGTTTGCATGTTCTCCCCGTGCAGTGTGGGTTCTCTCCGGGTTCTCCGGCTTCCCACACAGTCCAAAAACATGTTGAGGTTAAATGGTGATTCTAAATTTTCTTTAGGTGTGAATGTGAGTGTGCTTGGTCGTCTGTCTCTAAGTGTGGCCCTGTGATAGACTGGTGACCTGTCCAGGGTGTCTCCTGCCTTCGCCCTAAGGCAGCTGGGATAGACTCCAGCCCCCGACGACCCTGGTGAGGATTAAGCGGTGTATAGATGATGGATGGATGGATGGATGAACACTAGCTACTGACTAATCAGTTCTGGAGAAAAATGGCGTCACCATTCCTAGGAGATCCTGTTCACAGATAGCGAGCACAGATGTGAGATACAGATTCTCAGTGGAGAGAACTTCAGGCCTCCTTGTTTGTTTGTTAACTGCAAGAAATTCTAAAGCCATTTTATTTCTCTATAGGCTTTTTTTATAGTGATATAATCCTAAAAGAGACTTATCAAAGCACTAAAGACTTGTACTTGTTGACCTTATAAGATTTGCAATAAGCCTGTTTACTGGTTTGAACAGTGTTTTTGTATTTGTTTTTTTTCTTATTTGTTCCAAAAGCTGTTTAACACAACCAGGGCAGCAGCTGTGAGAATAAAGCTGAAATAGTCCCACATGCCAGAATAGACAACATCTAAGCAGCGCGTTTATTGTAATACACAATTGGAATTTCCTTCAGGAATAAAAAAAAGCTGTATTTTCTTTTATCTAAATGATTCAGATCTGCTTTGCCTTAATGATGGGGCAGTGATACTACTGAGCCTACTAACTTAGGCATTCATGCAGTCTGGAGTTTTTTGACAATTTTTTCTGTGTTGCTTTTAGCCCATATTATATTCTAAATTCCGCAGTGTCAAGTTGTAACCGGTGCCAACACCGTCCCTTTTATCTGGAAGTGCTCACAGCTAGATTCAGAAACTGTGGTTTGACTTAACACGTTTATATCGAGCTTTGTGTGAAAAAAAAACAAAAACAGACATGTTTATCGTGCCATTTTGGGTATTAGTTAATACTAAGCCAAGTGAATATCTGACAGAAATCTGATACGCTGTAAATGTCACCTCACAAGTTGCTTCTTTTAATAACTCAGAGCAAGAATATGTCATTGAACACATACAAAATATCTTAGAAATTCACATATTTACACTGAAGGAATAAATAAATACCAAACAACATGACCAAACATTTCCTAAATTTGATTGCTGAATTCTCAAACCAACATTCACAATCACCACTTACATCATGTACAGTAATGTAATGTACAACTTCTTACAGGTGCTGAAACAATATTGGTTAAATTAGTTGATCAGAAATCTCTCATGTTGGGTCAAAAACTCACATTTTAGATTAGACACAATAAAACTAAGGTGGTCACTGCTGTTTGAAGTTACTTGTACTGAAACTAATCTGTTGGGGACTATTTTCTGCAGTGGATTGTTATGGTTTGCTGGTGAGTATTTTTACCAGGAGAATAGTGAAAAAAACTACAGTGCAGAGCAACAGTGGAGATCTATGACAGTGCTGTTAGTGGGAATACCTGATTGTCTTTGGTCTTTTCATGGAATTTTTAATTAAAAAAACCTTTTAAATATCACCTGACATGTCCTCTAATTTCACAGAACAAACGTGAGCTACAGGGTTTTTTGGTCGAGTCGAGAAGTTATGACAACAAGAAGCATGTTGGCCTTCTTGTTGATGCTCTACAGCCAGATTATTGCGTCTCTCTTTTAAGTATTTCGCTCAGATTATCACACAGCGAGTACCGTTTGTGGGCACCTTGGAGACACTGCAGAGCTGCGCCCTAAATTCTGTTTCAATCAATATTCCATCGTTACTCTGATGGCAAGACTCTCTCATCCATGATACATCCCCATCTGCTGGATATGAGCTCACTGAACAGTTTGATTAGCATGAAAACATGGTACACATACATATTCAGCGAGTCACAGTCCACAGTGAGGGCTTGTGCTGGAATCCCCCTCGGTGGTGAAAAACAGTGTTACGTTACACCAGGAGATAAGCGCATCTGAACCAAGCTGCAATGAAGCTGAGGCAGATTGAAAGTGTGCAGCTGTGACTGAGGTGGCAGAGCAGGTTGTCGGCCCCACGGCTCCTCCACGTGTCAACACACCTCAGGCTGCTCTCGATGGCAGGCGCAGATGCAAAAGCGAACACTAAAGCACCTTGTTGGACCACTCAGGTTAAAAGGCTCTATATAAATGCAGACCACTTTCCAATTCAAACTTGTTCAACAACCTTTTACTAAACTTTCTGAGACAGGTTCAACACGCTCTTACTCGACAGGATTTCGGATACTCTTCATATCAGCCAGAACAATATCCCTGTAGCTGCGTTCCAGTCCCGTCATAAACTCCAGGTAGTTGCTGACTTCGAAGCCCTGGATCGGCTCCTCCTGCAGGCGGAAATAAGGAGTTTTATAGTTATCAAGAGCAAACTGAAAGATGTGAGCAAGGATGGACGACTGACGCCTAGTAGTGCATTTACAGTGTGCCCTCTTGTAAGTGTCTGAATCGTAAATGGTTATAGATAGTTTCAGAAGCATCCGTAATTACAATTAACTGCTCATTACACAGCAAACTGAGTGTTATACGGGGAGCAGTGAACGAGTGAAGACGGGAGCGATCTTCAGACGAAGCCTTTGTCTCCGGCGAGTGTGGTGCTAAATTACTACAGCGCCACTTGAAAGCGTAAATGCTGCATTTAAAAGTTTCTAAAGTACTTTTGTAGTACAATTATCACAAGTTTCTTAGTTTTATCAAAAAGCTGCAGTTATTCCACTCTACTAAGATGTCCAGGTAAAAAAAAAAAAAAAAGCGCACAGGCAGCGTTGGGATGTCGGGGCAGAAATGGCTTGTTAGAACATCAAGTGTGAATAATTAGATATAGCATTTTCATTAAAATGTTTTTCAGGAAATCAAATGAAGTCTCTGGGAATCCAACGCTGGTAAACAGCACGCCTGCGTAGCGTTCGGATAATGAGCTTTTACATGTTGAAGAAAGCGAAACAAACAGGGTTGCACAGATATCTTAATAAGTGCTACCGTCTCCACCGCGCAGGTACACGTAGAACAGGACGCATCTTAATACGCTGTGATATCCTAATTAAGAGACACGAATCAGACCAGACAAAAGAACATTTATTTGGCTCATTTGTTCAGACAGGATTTTAATTTTGGCTGCCATAATTGCTGCCCGAGCTTAAGTATGCATCTGTCATGGCAACACCCGACCTCATGGGCAATGCGAGCTCTGCTACAGAGCAAATAACTGTGACTGCTGTGTTCTGTGTTGCGAGAGGCATCATCAATTAGCAGCCTGAGGAAGGCTTCACCCAGAGGACTCACAGCAAACACTGTGATTCCACCCTCTGTCATTATCCAGGCCGAGGCCTTTAAAAAAAAAAACTACCACGGTTTAATGACTTGTCTTTACTCGCCTTATTTTGTTCATCACTTTGCAGAATGTGTTTTTGGAGAATCTAATTACTGTTTATTTTTGCAGGTAAATAACACTGACAAGGACACAGTGCAGTGAGCACACAGTCAAAGCTGCGAGTACAATTTCCGACTCATTCTGAACATTTATTTATTCTTTTAATGTCAGCATTTAGCTTCTACCAGTGGTTCGAACTAGAATGTTGGGGCCCTGCAAGGAGGTTATGTCAGGGGTGTAGCGATGGAAAATGGAATGGGAAAAAATCAAAAATGTACGGACGGATGACCAATTAAGGAATGAAGAACAACAAAAAGTGTCTTAGTAAGGTACTGGGTCACCATAAGCTACCAGAACAGCTTCGAAAACCTCAACATGGATCCTCCAAGTGTCTGGAACTCTACTAAAACATATTCCTTCATTTGATGTTTAGATGACGGTGGTGGAGAACATGTGGGTCCAAAATCTCCTACAGGTTTTCATTTTGGGTTGAGATGTGGTGGCTACGCAGGCCACAGCATAGGAGTCACCTGATTTTAAATAAACCATCCAGTGACCCCTTGTGTCCTGTGGATGGATACGCTATCATCCTGGAAGAGACCTGGAACCACTCCCATCCAGAGAGAAATGCTCCATCATAGGATGAAAGTGGTCACTAGGAGCAACTTTGATGCGACACATGGACACAAACCATGCCATCAAAATACCCCCTACAACACAAAAGAGCCATGGATACCCTCCCTGTATACTGTAAAATATATATAATGGTAAAACCTAAAAGAACAGTATATTTCTGCACCATCATAATTCTTTAAAACAACAGAAAATCATCTCATAAAAGTACAGTAAATTTCTATTATTAAAAAACAGTTTCCGTCCTTAATTTTACAAGAGATCCAGTGTATTATTTTGGTCTTTTTCATATTTAATAAAGGATATTTACATATGAAACTACCTACTTACAGTCGAATGACGCAATGACACAGATATTCACTCCAATCTCCCTCTTTTTCTCGTCTATGATGCTGCAAATTATCTCTGTGCCGTTTACGTCCTTTGTAAAGTAATACTGTGCTTGTAAAAATACAGCAGAAGAGTAAAGTGCAAGAAAAGAAATGGATTAAGAGCAAATGGAGCAATAGGTTTTTATTATTTAAAGGGAGGAAATAGAGTGACTACAAGGGGTGATTGTTCAGAGGGGAGTAAGTAACGTCAGGAAGAAATGAGTTTTCAGCCTGATGGAAGACTCGGCTCCTGTGATTATTCCAGGATGCAATGCGTCACTACATAGAACACACTTTAGAAGAGAAAAATGTTGTTTTAATTATATCATCTTATGAATCAGAGGTCACAGTCGACACCTAAATGATATACTGGAATTAATAAAGCAGTATCAGCGGCATAACTTTGAAACTATTAAATCCATATTTTGTAAGAGCGGATGCACACGGTCAATGTGCAACGTATTTCTTGCCAAAATATAAAACCACCAAACTGTAGTAAGTATGAAGCATGGACTGACTACTGCATTGTCAGGCCTTCAGAATTTTTTATTTCCGTCAAGATTGTGACGAGTGAGATTAATCCTGAAGAATCATCTAACCTAAATTTGCTTGGCTCGGTCATTTATTGCACCGGGAAATGGCTTCTGACACAGTTAAAACCGTGAAGGACAGCGAAGATAAGCACTGGAAATCACTTGGGAGGGTATTTTTGGCCTGTTGTTTTCTGTGGGAGTATTAAGGAGCAAAATGCAAGGGCACCACTGACTGGGAATTAGTGTCTTGACAAATGTGGGTTCCCTTACTTTAAACAAAAAAAATATAGTTTTTGTGTTGTTGTTCAGCTTTACACTTTCATGATGAACTGGTGATTCGAGCTGCTTAATGTCTCACGTAATCACCACGACATATTTACCATTAGCGCTTATGAGATCATTAAGTAGGCTAATTAATGTATTAATTACCAAAGATTTCTGTTTTCTTAAGCCTGTCCTCGTATGATAAATGTGTAATGTTAATATTCAATGTGAGTCTGGATATGCACAGAAGGTGTAATTAATGGGACTATTTCTTAAAGCATTTTATTGGTTAATTAAAATGAAAATATTATGGTTTGTGACTCTTGAAATGCAGCTGATGTAGTTTTTAGATGAATAGATATCTGACAAGGACACATCTGTTGTGTTCCTTCTGTTGCTGTGACAGTGTGGCATCATTGTGGAGCAAAGGTTTGCACTGGAAATGCTTTCCCTAAATGTGTTACTGAAAAGAAAACAAGTTTTTCCTAAACCTTTTTTGCCGAAAATCTATAGTGGCTTCAAAATATTGTAGGACAAAACACAATTATGCATAACTGTAAGCCCTAATACAATTTAAAAGGATGTGTTATTGTTCCAACTGTGGTGTTTGTCCAGTGTTTCTGTGTCCGTTTCTCTGTCTCTTATATGCAAATACAGGTGTGCTATAGCAGAAAGCGGATTGGTGCGGCGAGTGACAGCTGGGAGACGACTGGCCCAGACTCGCCTTTAAAAGCAGATCCAAGATGGCGCTCCCCAGAGGGACAGACGCCACACCATCTTACCAAACCTCCACTGCCACCAGCAGACCGGCATGTAATTTGTATTTAGAGGAGTCCACAGGGGTGGGCTGCCTATTTCGTTTCACCATTTTTCTCGTGTTTATGTTATGTTAGAAAGTTCAGAGATTGCATTTTGATTTTGGTTAGGTTAGACTGATTTTATTTTGAGCACAGACATTATTTTGTTTATTATTTTGCCCTTGGTCCTCCCTGACATCTGTTAGACTCCGTCTTTAGTTTGCACCTTTGGAGCACTGAAAATAAATGCACCTTTTAGAAACTTCATTCAGAATGTCATCAGTTGTGGCTGCTTGAGGTTTTGAGGTGGAGTTCATGTTACGTCTCGGCCACCCCTAGACGGGGCGGAACAGTTACATAATACGGCAATCCACTGGCAGATTCACCCACCATTTAGTTGTCAGGTAAGGAAAAATGAACTATAGAGACGAAAAACTAATTTTGCACCAGGCTGTAAAAATGTTTAGCAGCCTTTAAACATGGGGGTCTATGGGGACTGACGCACTTTTAGAGCTTGTCTCAAGTGGCCATTTGTGGAACTGCTGTTTTTGGCATTTTAGTGCTGGATTTAATTTACAACCCCAGAGGTTGCCACTTGCTCTTAACACACTATAAATTTCCCCTGAACGCGATGAGTCAAGCTTTCAGTTAAGCTGAGTTAGCAAACCTGTTAGTTTAGCTCAGTTACTGATGGCTCAGTAAATTTGCACAGTTTACTGAAATTGACTCGTTTTACAGCAAACCTCTGCTCTCGTGTGCTCATTTTGTACTTTAAAAGAGGAGCTTTAGGAAATGTGAGTAGTGCAACACAGCTAACCTTGGGATTCTCTAGGTCTCCTTTCCTTTGCAGGCCAGGGTTTAATGATACACGTTTTTCTTTCTCCAGCACTCTGTTCAGACACAGAAATTCCACTGGACTAAACTTAAATCACTCATTTTAAATCCTGGTGTGTCTAGACTTTTTATGTGATAAGCCAGAAAGTTCTCTACTACTAATACATACTATTATATATCACACCTCTATTATACACTTCAAATATGCCAAAGCAGGACTGACATAACCAAATGGTGTCAGCTGGAAGAGCTAGTTTCCAAAATAATGTGCATTAAAATGAAAAGCAGGATTGAAAAATGCTGCTTTCATGTAGCCTCTGAGTCTTTGGCAGACATATAACCTCTGTGTCTTTTTCTATCTACTTTTCCTCTCACCGCTTCAGCTTCACTGCAGTTTAACTCCAGCTGGACTCAGAGCGATTGTAACAAGTCATTTGCCTTTTTAAATTTTAATTTAGATGAAAAATAGATATACCCCCTAGTCAGACAGGATGAGTGTGGAAGAGAGCAAGTGTGTGCGAATGTTTAAAAAATCCTCTAATACCACATCTGTCTGGGTAAAACACTCCCTTCACATTGTTCCCACAGAGGGAGACCGAGCAGACGCGAGGGAGATAAGGCCGTCGGACGCAAACCGGCATGTCTAAAACTTTTAACAGTTCAGCTCAGGACAGGGACTGTTTAAGTTTCTCTGTGGCACGCGCACACACACACACACACACACACACAAACATGCAGACACACACTCGGAGCCTGCCTCACGCAGCAGTATCTGATGCTACAGCTCATTAGAGGAGCTTCCTCAGATAAAGCCTCCATAACTGATCTTTTATTCACAGAAACTGTCAGCAGCGGTTCATGCTGGTGTTAACACCAGAGCTATCAGGCAGAGACAAGACGGACTGAAATGCTTAACGAGTAATGACGATGATTGCTTCATGTCAATGCGTGTGAGGCTTTTTGATTTTAGTAGAAGTGCATATCTCCGAGTCCATGAATTTAGACCTTTTGTGAACTCTTATGGGCTGCTTTTCAATTAAGCGTTCATCCAATTCACTGAGCAGAACTTATTTCAATAAAATGTTACTTTTCAGAAATGCCCTTTTTTTTCCCCCACACAGTAATGTATTGCCAGATTTACAGCATTTATTGTGGATGAACGCTGAATTTAAAAGGTCACCTACACAGGAGCTCACTTACAACACTAACTGCATAAAACTTCTTAGGAACAATCCAGATGAATACAGTGCTTATAAAAAGTATTCATCCCCTTTCGAAGTTTTCTCATTTCATCTCTTTCTTTCATATCAACGTGAAAACAAACTTCTACAAAGTAATGTTAACGAGTTAAAAATGTGAAATGTGAACTAATCGTCCCCTTTAACATAACTAACCTATTTGAACACAGCGACAGCCAATTGATGGCAGAAGTCACACAATTAAATGAAACTGAAAGAGGCTGAAGTTAACTGGAAGAGGCCATTTTGAGACATGGCTGACACAAGACACTGCACATCATCACAAACACACCGTCACCACCATCAAGCACGGTGGTGGCAGCATCATGATGTGGAGATGCTTGGCAGCAGCAGGCCCTGAAAGATTTGAAAAGCCAGAGGGCAGAATGAATGCAGTGAACTATAGACAAATCCTGGAGGACAACCTGATGCAGTCTGCAAGACAACTGCTACTTGGGAGAGATTTTGTTTTCCAGCAAGACAAGGACCTGAAACATAGAGCTAAAATTACACAGAAATGGTTTAAAGACAGCAAGGGGAATGTTCTGGAGTGATTAATATAGCTAGTGTGGCCAAATATGCATCTACTAAATACTGACTTGAAGGAAGGGAATACTTATACAATGACTTATTGTGTCATATAATAGAAAACATGCAAGGTAACTCCTATATTTTTCAAATATTAGACATTACTTCATAGAAATCTGTTTTCACTTTAACATGAAAGTGTAGTTTCTCTAAATTCCTGTAAAATGTCCTAATGTCTAATTCAACTGATTCAATGTTGACGAGCAATGAAAGGAGAAAACTTCCAATGAGGGTGAATACTTCTTATAGGCACTGTACGAGTACAGTGGAAACAACTATTATTCAAGGGTCTTCCTTTGTTTATATATTTTTAAATAAGCCTCATCAAAAGTTAAGCAGTAGAACTTCGTTCCCTCTTAATGAATTCGAGACCAGAAGTTGTTTTGTGCCGTAGTGGTGTTGGTATAGAGCAAACAAACTCTTAAACTAGTGCACTAATCCATACTACTGCAGGAACCGCTCAAATAATTGAAGAGAAACAATACTTGAGCGTTACTTTAAGACATGAAGTTCAGTCAGTTTAGAAAAGTTGAAGAATTTCAACACTGCAGTCGAAAAATCAGCAAACTGTGATGAAACTAACTCTCTGCTCCCTGTACAAAACAACTACTTTGAAAAGGATAGCAGCCAAATTTACATCAGACTTGGTTTTCACTTTTTTGGGGGTTCAGTCTTAGAACTTCTTTATCTCACCTTGTAGTTTGTGACTAAATGTTAAGAAATAGGTTTATAGGAGAATTCTCATGATAAAACCAGACATAAAAACAAGCCCCTGGTTCAGATACATACAAAATACTGAGTTTCTGATACATAAGGCCACCTTAAGCCAAGTTTTACCTTGAGTTTGAAAAAAAAAAAAAGTAATTATATTTAGTACTGTAGTACCGAGATGGCATCTGACCTTGAGGAAGACTTGCAGCTCCTGGGACTGTGTGCGCTGCAAGATGTTCGGCTGCAGGTGTTTAAATATGGCCACGCACATGTAAACCTGGTAGTCTGAGCCCATCACCACACAGGTGCAAATGTAGTGGCAGATTTCTGTCCAGTCCAAGTAGTTCCAGAAACACTGAGTCAGCCAATGGAGGCACATCTGTGGTTAAAAAAAAAAAAAAAGACAAAACCAAATGTTGTGATTTCCAGGCTGCTACTGCTGTTGAATCTCCCTGTAGGGAAATAAAAAAAATAAAAACATCAGGATATTACACATTTAAGCCATAGCTGCTTGCATTTAATACAGGTGAAATAAATAATGACCCCTACTTTAATCTGAACGATCTACTTAATGACAAGAAAAGAAATCATGTTCCAGGCAGCTATTCTATTACCTGTAATAAATCAAATATGTAACTATAATATTTATCTCTCCATTCTCATCCATCTTTCTTGTCTTTTTTCATTTTATCTATTAAAGAGAAATAATATTCAAAAACAATGCACATCGTTGTCTGTGTCTGAGTTTGCAGCTAAGTGCTTTTCTGACAGCATCTCATTTAGATTTCTGAGGTCACTTTGTTTAGGTATACCAATCTACAAAATGATTACATCTAAACACAATCGGGAGTGCAATGAAGAGTAAATAAATTATATTATATTTCCATGCAGTTGAACATGGTAATACAAATGAGAATGGCACCTTGTGTGGGAACTCAACAAATACAAAGATAATTATAAACAGACACTTAATGCAGCAGAGTAGCAATGAAGTACTTGCTGACGTAATTAGTATTCCACAGCCAGGGAGCAACAATGGCAAAAGCTTAGTCACTCCTGGCTTTAAAATTCTAACCAACAGATGACCTTGGTCAGGTGAACTAAGAGGTTTGTGAGAAAGATATTTGCCAAAAGTTGACAGAAAAAAAAGTTGGAGGTCAAGTGTGGTGTCATCAAGCCGGTGCAGCACAACCTTGAAATCACTGCTGCATTTTACAGGGAGTCATTAGACTTACTGTCAGCCAAAACAACAGCAATAATGTGGCTCCATTTAAACTCATAGGATCTGGTTTTACGATCCAATATTTGAATCTTTTCTTGAGTGGTAGCAAAGGCTTCCCTGAGGTCATTAAGTCAAGTCATGTAACCTTTTTTATAGCACATTTCAGGCAAGTTTTGAGGTAAGACAAATAAGGAAGTTTGAGATAAAAGATTAATGTTACACACTCACACGATTAGCAGGACTTAAAAGCAGAAGCAGTCCCCACATGGCACTATAGATATTAAAGTCAAGACTGTGGAAAATTCTAGAGAGAACCCCACTAACTCCCAAGCACTTGGTGACACGAAAGAAGAAAAACTTCCTCTACCAAGAAGAAACACCTGGCAAAACCAGGTTGCCTGCTGACCATCTGGTGAGGGGGCAGCAGAGAGAGAACAGTGGTGAGAGACAAAAAAAACTTGTTCGACATTAATTAATTCAAAATGCAGCTCCTAATCCATCAGGTGGGTGTCCTCATTCCTTGGTATTTTGCTGATAGGCTCAGTGGGGGCAGTGGTAGAAGTTTGATTGGAGTCATCAGATGGGCACCCTCCCTCCTTGGTGTTTCATTAAGGCCCACAACCCCTCCAGGGGGCTCAGTGGTGATACTGGGGTCGGAGTTGCACCTCTCTGGTTTTTCCTGTCATGCTGGCTGATAGGCATCTTGCCACACAGTTCATATACCTTCTCTTCTCAGCCAGAGACAGTTGCTGCTTCCTTCAGCAGCCTCAGACAGTGATTAGATAACCTATCGGAGGACCTGTCCTTTAGACTTGTATCCCTCTCAAACTGGTGGTTGACATGGTCATAAAGCCCTTATAGCCAACCTCCCCAGGGAACAACCACATACTCTGACAGCTGCAGGTTGGGATGGTCTCTGGTGCAACAGTCAGCTTCTAGTCTAGATACAACTCTATCCTCCACTCCTAGGCTGTATCCAGTAGCCTTGATTCTTTTCTTGCAGTTGCTCTATTTGGTGTCTTTCCTGCTGGTACAAAGGCAATGGTGATTGCAAGGCCAAACACCAGAGGAGAGAGAACATTTCTATTGGTGCTTCTTACTTTCAGCACAAGTGCCAGCTGCCAGAGGGTCTGGTAGTGTAGCACCCTTGGGTGAGGCTGGTCTTGCTTCCTGTGAGTATGTGCTGTAGGGTTGTTAGTGTTTGACAAAGAGGACAAGATGGTTCATCTTCAAGCCACTTATTTAGGTCCTTGGGACTGGGAAGGACATCATAGATGGTTCTGATGATGAGGGTAATTCTGCCATCTTCAATTTCTCAAACATCCTTTCAGGTGAGCATCTGGTGCTCAGGGTTTTTCTCATGTTAGCTATTAACCATGTTTTTCCTGTGAGACTGCTTCTGCAACATCAGTCTGCATCCCGCTGCTGCCATGTGTCTTTTATCACGAATCCTCACTTCTGGGCAGTTGTTGCTCTGTGCCCTATGGGACTACTTATGCCTCGTCCAGATCTTCCATGTTGTACTTGGCCCCTAATATCTCCATGCTTGTGAGCTTTTCTTCTGCTGCGTCCTTTGTATGGCTGTCCAGTCTTGCCTTGGAGCATTTCTATTCTTCAGTAAGGCTAGTGATAGACAACTTCCAGCCTTTTTCCCATACAAGTCAATCCAACTGAGACGCACTGGGAGTTTGAGTCATTTCTTGATGTGTTCTCTCCAGCATCACAACTTTGGTGATGGAAGCCTAATGGATCACCAGAGGCCACATCAGACGGTGAAGTAGTGAAAACTGCAGACATCAAGGTTTTAATTTCTGTTATGGACGAGCATTTATTTAAGGCCAATTTAAGTACCTGAACTGACACAGCTGTTGGTTCCATTTCTGCTTTATCAGATTTTCTGAATGAGTCTTTCTGGAATCACGTTCACTTCGAGAGGAAGAAATTATTCAGTAACTCGCAACAGTCTTGAATATTGAGGTGGGATTAGGGGACAAAGAGACAAGGAGATGCATGCTAATGTTTACTTCTCCAGCTGATGACTGAGTTAGAATCTGTGATTTTGATGCAGTGGCTCAACAAAGGGTTCCCACCTAATCTCCGTGAAAAGGGGTGGAAAGGGTCTGAGTCAAGATGCTTATATTTAGAGCAGTTTATTTTCTGTGACTGATCATTTTTTGGGTCCAGGTTATAGCGTGATCTGCCCACCATGATTCTAAATCAGTAGATATATGTACAGTCGTGTAATATGAAATTTTTGTCACACAACAGTCTCTCTGTAACCTGAATCATGTTTTTTTTGCAAGTCTAAGTTACAACTACTGTAACTTAAGAATTTTTAAAGAAGGGAAACTTAGAACTTAGAAATACACGTGTTATTTCAGTGCTGTTAAACCCTCATGTACCCATGAGGACATTTTGTCTTCAAGGACCTCTGTGTGACTTTATTTAAATTGAAGCCTTGGGGTAAAGGACGAAGCTGTTCCACCACTTTTTATGTGATAAAATCACATCATTTGAAAAAAACCTGTCGGACCTTTCTGACAAGGTTGTATCACAACTTAAAAAATTAGAAAGGGCAAGCCACACGGTACTTCCAAACAGTCAGCGGCACAAATGACCTTTGCTATGAAAACAAACAAACAAACAAAAAACTAAATGCTAATGTCAGTATGCTAACAAAATCAAAATAAATGCTATTGCTAATGTGTTCTGGAGTTAAATAGGTATAATGTTTACCACGTTTACAGTGGGGTACTGGAGCCAAGTATTAGCAAACAAGCTGCATTAATATAAAAAATATATATATACATAAAAAAATGTTTAAAAATTGCCTAGGTGATAGTGTAAACAAGCTAAAAATCGCACAATGACAATGCTAACATGCTGATGTTAGCAAGGTTTAATATTTATTGTGTTCAGAATAGAGAGCTTAGCCTGTTAGCATGATAACATTTGCCAATTAGCGATAATTGCTATAGTTTTTGGAAAATGTTTTGGGCTTTTTTATTCTAAATGGTGGTGTTAAATTTAGTTATCACAGTTTATCTGGATTTAAATTTTTGTACCAGATTTCATGGCAGGTGTTGAGATGTTCCACTAAAAAACACAAATGTAAACCTCATCATGTAGCAGCACCATGTGTCAGGGCATAACCAAAGTCAGACGGACTGATCCTCTGTGGATGTCTGAACAATAACATCAAACAGTTGCTGAGATATTTTAGCATTTCAGTCTGGACCAAATGGTGGACCAACTGACTGACAGAAGGACAGACATTACCATTCTTAATGTCATTCTGCTGCTTTGTCTAAAAAGAAGACAGCATTGCGAAAATAGTAGATGTGCTCCAAACACGTCGCCTCACCGTCAACTCTGATGTGCCTGAATATGACTTGGCTACTGTCAGTACCTTGGAGCCTGACTGAGCTTCACACCCTTATGTCCAGTCACTGAAACATTCAACAGACAACGCACAGGGCACACACTCAGTTCTAACTAAATGTCATGCCAGTAATTAGTCACTGTGTTCACAAACAACAGAAGCCTGCTTAAAGGTACAAACATGCATCACTTACGCTGCATAAACATATTAGATTATCACTGCCCCCTCCTCGGCTAAACTTCAATGAAAATACTGACATCAAAATGTGTGTTGTATTAAAAACAGGAACGTCTGCGTCTATACTGCCCTTTGTTTTTAAACCCTCAGGCAGAAAAGCAAGTACATATACTGCACTGTACTTTCTGTGACTATTAATCCCACCAAGGTTCTTCCAAGAACAGCTTTTTTCTCAGTGGCAAAATGTGCTTTCTTTGTAACTGTTCATGTGAGCTGAAACTCAGGGAGTCTGTTTCTTTTCTTTTCTTTTCTTTTTTTTGCAGCATTCTGTACTTATTTTTATGTCTCTAAGTAGGCCCTCATAGCAATTCTTAATCTGTAGAGATCATATCATCGTGATACGTCCACCGACGGCCTTTTCATGTAAAACACAGAACACAAGCCAACGCCACTGAGCTACTATTGAGCAGAGCTGAGTGATTACAAGTTGTCACGATCATGTAATTGTGTAAAGCTGCAAAGAGCTTAAAGCAAAACGAGGCAATTTCCTGCAGCTTTGACAAAAACAAGATTTTTTTACATGATTTATTTTAAAAGTTTATTTTCAAGTCTGACCAGAAGTAGCCAGCTGTAACAGCCACTTGGCTAGCTGCAGTAAGGCTCTTCATTCAGGGATAACCCAGTGCAAGATGATTAGGTCACTCACACAGGCAGAGTTAGCCAGTTTTTTTAGTTCCCTATTGTTCCTGCTGCATTTCTTTCTTTCTTTCTTTCTTTCTTTGTTCTTATTTTCCTGACGAACGCGTTTGCCTTAATTTGACCCCCTAAACACGCTCAAAAACTCACCAAAATTGGCACGCACATCCGAATCAGCGAAAAATTTGATTAAATGAAAAAAAAAGACAAAAATGCTCTCTAGCTCCACCTAGTTACAGAAAAACACACTAAAACGGCCCTAGCGCCCAGTAGGAATGTCGTACAGAGATCAAACCAACACCAAAACGTTCGTCTCAATGAGACCCACAAATCTCGTGCTGACACCCCTGACCTATTTCAAACAGGAAGTCAGCAGCCCTTGACACCGGCTCCTGTCCGTCCAGACAGCTTCACCCGCCGTCTTGTGTCTTCTCCTTCAACCACTACCAGAACCCGACTCAGACAGCCGTTATCCTCTCCTCCTACCCCTCTACGGCAACTATTAACTTCCCCTCCTACCCGACTTAAACAACCTCTTATCTCCCCTCCTACCCCTAACCCTAACCTCCATCCCTACCCCTTACCCCACCCTTCTTAACCCCCATTTCTGTCTTTTATGTTTCCCTTTCCTCCCTAGTCTTACCCACTACTGCATCCCCTTCAACCCCACCCCTTCCCCCACGCCCTTTAACCCCCTTTAACCCCCTTTAACCCCCATTTGTGTCTTTTAAGTCTCCCTTTCCTCCCTACTCTTCCTTTCCCCTTCCCCCTCCTCTAAAAATGTCAAATAATGCCAACATAAAAAAAAAAAACCTGAATACAGTATTTGAACAATAATGACACTGTTCATGTGTGCGTTGTGAATTTGGATATGAAATGGTTCAGTTGGTGCTCCAACAATGCAGTTCTTGGTGTTTGGGGAACACTAGACAGGTTAAGCTTCACATTCAATCTTTGAACATGTCACTTGTTTTAAGACCCAATTAGACCAAACATCAGTGTGAATCTTGGATGAAAAAAAAAAACAAAACAGAGTCACAGCTTGCTTAGGCAGTCGTTCTATCAGGTGTGTTTATGTCTCACTTCTGCTTTTTCAATGAGTCTCGGCTCCTTAAAAGGGCTCCAGGAAGCATTGAGATCTCCAGAGCCCAGACAGAGTGAATTCTCCAGATATCCTGTGCTACATCTGCCCACTGTGTTTCATACACCTCAGAAATATTAACTGACACTTTGGTAATCTGGAAGTAGCTGTATATATCCTGTAAAATTGCACAGTGTTTTTCTTTACTTGATATGAGGGGCAAAGGGAAGGTTTTTGATGTTTTTTAAAAGTTGAACAGAACCATGTGTATGTCCACTCTTTTTTCTTTTTTCTTGTACTTTCTATATTTTTGGATGCTGCTGTGGCATGCACATTTCCCCCAATGGGGGATCAATAAAAATGATTCTATTCTATTCTAATACTTAGTGGAGCATTTGCAGTAGCAGGTAAAACAACATGTATTTGCCTCAGGAGTTGGTAGAGACCAAATATAGAGCTAAAACTACACCGACTTTTGGGTTCACATTCATGCAGGGAGCAGAAATATTACGTCAAATAAACACTAAAAATAATCTGTGTCTACTGGATTTACCTTACAGCTTTATAAGGTTATATGTCAACCTTTGTATGTACAGCTACTTATACTGCCCTGGGACAGCACAAGCCCCTGTACCTGCACTAACTGATTGATTTGGCCACTTCATACGTCTGAAGGAATATCTGACTCACTTAAACGTGTGGAGCGTTTGTTCACCAGCTCCTCTCTAACTGTTTAGTTTCTGTCTGGTATTTTTTCTGCTGAAAACCAAAGCAAAACCTAAATGAGATTTAACTTATTATAAAGCTCTGTAAAGCTGACAGGAGCTTTCAAAGGTGATAATTCTCTGCAGGTTCCCCACGAAGAGCAAATCCTTTGATGTTGTCACATTGCTTTCACATCGTCATTTGATGCATTTTATTTTTTTTTAATACAAAAAGGTTGATTATTGCCACTTAAAAGTTGGAGTGTGGGAGTTTTTCATTTAAAGTCTATTTTATTCAAGCAATCAAGTTCCCACAATGCTAATTAAGCATATTAGCACCAGGTAAGTCTGTATTTTTGCATCTGCTGTCTATGGCAGCACCTGAGCACTGGCACACGAATAGCAAAGTGGTTCATGTCAGCTCGCAATAATTGGTTTGCCAGAGCTGAGAAGGAAAGCAAAGGTAGTGATGGAGACCTAGAAAGCATTCATGAGAAGTTTAAAAGCTAAAAGATAAAGGTAAAAGTTTAAAGCAAAGTAAATAAAGTCTGTACCAACCACTAACATGTTTATGCCCTTGCTGAAAAACCCGGTTCCCTATTTAGGACACATGAGCTACACCCTTGATGCTTCGTCCTATGATTCCTGCCAAAAAAGCTCCTGTTCCTATGACACTCTGACTGTTGAAAATATTAAAACATCCTGCAAATGGATTTTGACTGAGACCTGCGTCCACACACACACATTTGCACACCGCCTCTACTGTATGAACGTCAGAGCTGTATAATGCTTCATTTGCCTCGGCTGCTTTGTCAGACTTTCAAAGCTCAAACTTTTGAAATAGATATTTCCATTTCTGACTGAAGAACAGGTGCCCATTATCGTCTTGAACAGAAAAGAGATGAACTGAATGTTAACGGATTACTCCACCCTGGAGACGGCGAGTTCAGATCTTTGATGCAAATGCGGCGAGTCTTATAAGCATCCCTGCTGCCGTACATTACGTGAGCCTCAACTGTCAACTGCAGACACACAGAAGACAGGATCAAACGTAAGAGGATTCAAGGTGAAAAACCTTTTTGTACCTCGTTGTTTGTGAGAGAGAGGCACAGAGGAGCAGAGATCCAAGTTTCAAACTGCTTTGGTATTTAAAAAAAAAGGAAAAAGATTCAATGTCAAAGCTATATTTTGGCATCTTGAAGTCAATTGAAGTCAAAGCAGAATTAAAAGGGTAGCCATTAACAGGGCAAGCAAAAGCGTGATGATAGAGGTTTTTGGGTGTTTTACTGATCTCATTATTTAATATATACAACCGTGACAAAATGAAACAGAGTGCTGCCTGTTTTGGTCTCGCATTGTTGGTGATCAAATGACTAATTAGTCTAATTCATCATTCTAATCCAAATTCAGTTAATTTTATGTTCTCTACTCTCAATTTTCATTATGGATATAAGTTAAAAGAAATTACTAAACCCAGATACTAAAGTAAAATTCATTATTTGACTCAAACTCATTGGCTGCCAGTGTTGCTTGATATGAGATGTGCTGTACACACTGATGCACTTCAGTCAAATCTGGTTCAGACTATAAGAACTAATACAGAGTCAAAATAGTAAGGAACCACAATAAAAACTAATAGAGGTGAATAACATTTATCTGCAGCTACATTACTTAACCTGCAGTGCAAACTTCAGTCCCCCTCTTCTAGCAGTGTCAGTAATTATACACACACTGCTGCCGAGGGATGTTCGATCTTGGCAAATTTTTCTTTGATTTTTTCTTTTAATTTTCTTTTTTGGCTTTTGCCTTTATTCATTAGAGCAGTGGAGAGAGACAGGAAAGGGGGGAGAAGAATGGAGAAAGACCTGCAGCAAATGGCCATGGTCGGAAGTCGATCCCGCAACTGCTGAGTCGGGGAACTATAGCCCCTGTTTGTGGGTCGCCGTCTTATCCAGTTGACTTACCGGGGTGCCTGATCTTGGCAATTTTTAACTGATCAATAATTAATAAATGCTGTAAAAGCTATGCGTTTGATTAGTCATGCACTGACATTGATGGCAGAGGCACAGACACATTACAAGACACAAAAGTTGCCGCTATATATCCAACTGGATTTTAAAAGCAATGTCTTAAACCCTCCAACTTCATTCCGTACAAGTACACTGGCCAAAGGTGACTGAACCTCACAAAAGACTTTGTTGTGGTGCCCTTTTTATTAGCTTAACCCTCACAACAACACAGAAGTGCCCGCCTCCTCTTGTCACGACAGCGTTAAACATGCATTAGCTGTACCACTTGGTTGTTTCGCTAAGAATCCACCGGGTAGAAACTGCTCCTTTCACCATTAAAAAGCTAAATATGTGCTTCTTCACACTTTTGAGCGGCTGAATAAACATTACATCAAGATTACATCCAGAATGAGTTTAGGTTTTTCTTTTGTCTTTCCCAAAAAAAAACATTCATAATCCTAAAAACTTTAAACTGCATATTCTGCATAGTCACTCTGGCTGTAACTGTTGTTCCCCTTTCTTTTAGATTGCGATGCAGAACTGGCTGACACAAGTTAGTATTGATTGATGAGCAAAAGCACTTATCTGTATGCAGACTATGCAGATATTGCATTCTGTTTTGGACTGTGTATTTATAAACTGCCTGTCACAGATTAGATAAATGTCTATTTCTGCTCTATGCAAGATTGATTACAGGAACACACAAAAACATCGACAACTATCCTAAATCACAGCCTGTATGAGTCAGTGTGTGTGATTCTTAAGTCTGGGAGCACAGAGACAATCAGACACCAGATAGGTTTGAGTGAAGCGTTTGTCAGTGTGCTGGTTGACAGATGATACCTGTGATGGGGTGAAGCCAGACATCCTGAAGGCGGAGTGGACCAGAGGGACTTCAGCTTTCAGCAGCATCTCCACATAGTGAGCTGTGCACCAGTAGACAGGAGGGATCCCTGACTCAGCTACTTCCTTGGAAAAATGGACCTGTCACAACAAATACAAGGTTTTTACTTCTCTCAAAAGCCAAACTTGCTTAGATTCATTGTGGCTATGCAAATGTAAACAGTGTTTAATTTTACTGGCACTACTGGTGGATATTCAAGCCTCAAACTTCGTCTTTAGTGTTGATATGGAGATAAAAACAGTCTGACTTAGAGCATTAAAAAACAGCATATCCTTTGTCTTTATGTGGGCATTCAGATGTTGGTGTGTATGTGTCTTAACAGTGTGCAGTCATCCACATTACCTCCTACATTTACCTCTGCCTCTTAATTATTTGTGCCCTTTCTATTTTCCCAGGTATTGACGAAATCGACCACATTGTGTAGTTGAAGGCTTACTGCCGAGTGAGAAATTCACCAACTGTATCTGCATCAAACACACCGGGAGCACATAACACACAAGTCTATTTGCCGTAATTGACTTTGACGATAGAAGACGAGATGACTGAGGCTGGTATAATGATAGCAAAAGTTAATCTCAGCACCTCTGTTCTCCCTGCAATTTAGAATGATTGAAACTAGGCTTCATTTTCAATTTCTTCCCCAGAGCTAAAATATTCCTTTTACTTTTTCTACCTAGACTTATTTTTACTTTACTCTTCATTTACATCTTTGGGCCATTCCACTCATTTTTTTTATTTTATTTTTACAATAAAGTGGTAATAAGTAATCTGTTTGTCTTTTCTCCATGTTGAAAAAGGAAGACAGAGTAAACCTGAAAGTCAAAAAAGATCAATCTTTTATTCATGTTGTCTTTACTGTCCCTTTTCAGAGATTTCTGATGTACTATTTATTAGGAACGTAGAGATTAAATGAGGACAATGAGGACAGACTTTCAAGCTGGTTGGCATTTGAAGGTATAATATCTTAAAAGAAAGAACTAAGAGATTGGTTAAATGTCTTAAGTTTATACTTACAGGAGCCTGTCTGAGTATGTGAGGCTGATGACAGGGATTTAGAAGCATGCAGCTTGTTACATAGCAGCTTCATGACAAAATAAAATATGTACTGAGAAGCAACAGTATCAGTGCTGTTCTGCTTAAACCCAAAGTGACCAGTGACGTCCTGATTTAGTTTGTGCCACACATGGCGATGGTATTACTTGAGAATTCCCCACAGAGAACATCATAGATGAAAACGTGGGGCTGTAAAGTTTGCCCTTTACTTTTGTTAAGATGTCTTTATAGGTCTATGCTGACAAGGGTATAATGGGAAACTGTGGCTCAGAGGGCTTGTAAAGGACCTCACATTTTTACATTTTTGTTGAGCCCAAACAACACATCTTGCAACCCTGTGCAGCAAACAGGCTGACTGGTTAACACCTTAAAGTTTTAATAAGGTTCGTCAAAACATTCCTCAACAACATTTGGAGTGAGGCAGGGAGCATTATCCTGGTGAAAGATGCTGCTGCCGTCAAGGAACACCGCTGTCATGAAAGGACATTCATGGTCTGCAACAAGGTTTAGGTAGGGGCCCATGTGTCAAAGCAACATCTCCATAAATGCAGAACCCAAGGTTTTCCAACAGAACATTGCACAGATCATCACACTGGCTTCCCC